AGAGAGATCCTCCCTCGCCCAGGGATCTACTCCTGGATTGGTAGGAAGCCCTCTCACCCAGATCTACTCCTAGGTTGGTGGGAGATCCTCCCTCACCCAGGGATCTACTCCTAGGTTGGTGGGAGATCCTGCCTCGCCCAGGGATCTTCTACTGGATTGGTGGGAGAGATCCTCTCACCCAGATCTACTCCTAGGTTAGAGAGATCCCCCCTTGCCCAGGGATCTACTCTTGGATTGGTAGGAAATCCTCTCACCCAGATCTACTCTTACATTGGTGGGAGATCCTCCCTCACTCAGGGATCTACTCCTAGATTGGTGGGAGATCCTCCCTCTCCCAGGGATCTACTCCTAGGTTGGTGGGAGAGATCCTCCCTCGCCCAGGGATCTACTCCTGGATTGGTAGGAAATCCTCTCAGACTTACTCTTAGGTTGGTGGGAGATCCTCCTTCACCTAGGGATCTACTCCTAGGTTTGTGGGAGATCCTCCCTCACCCAGGGATCTACTCCTGGATTGGTGGGAGATCCTCTCACTCAGACTTTCTCTTAGGTTGGTGGGATCTACTCCCCCCAGGGAGGGAGGGATCCTTAAGATAACATAAAGGAGCTCTATAGGGCTGGGGGATTCTGGGAGTTGAAGTCCAGCTGTCTTAAAATGTCCATTTTGGGGGGGGGGGGGGAACCACAACTCTAAATCAAACCAATCGCTTTCCTTGGACCTTTATTGATCTGCTTTTGCACAACGCATGAATCTGAGAGCGAAATGGGCGGCTCGTCCTTCAGCACAAAGTAGCAACTATCTTAGCCTGTTGTGCCTGTTGTTGTCCCCTCAAGACTCAACTTAGTTTGTAGATTTGAGTCGTAGGTGTCACTCCGTTCCCCGTTTCCCTCCACTTCTGTCACGGGGATCCAATCTTGGGTCACTTTTAAGACTTGTGGACTTCAACTCCCAGAATTCCCCAGCCAGCACGACTTCTTCCTGCTGCTGTCAACTCCGCCCCAGCCAGGGAGCCACCCCTCCCTCGGGAAACCCTCCCTCGGAATTCTGGGAGTTGAAGTCCACAGGTCTTCAAAGCAGCCAAGGTTCGGCCCGTCTGGACTCCGTCAAATCTAAATGCAACACTGGGCCTCCCCAAATCTCTTCCTCCTCCTCCTCCTCTGTCCAATTCACCACACTGGGGTTGCCAAAGGTCATTTCTTTATTGGGAACCTTTCTGAGAAATTTTCGAATTCCACCCAAAAGCAGGTGAGAGCGACTAACCTTGTTCCCATCAGCCCTCCCTTCCCTCACAGGAGGCCTTGCGCTGTCAGCTGGCCTTCCCCAGACTCTGCAAATAGTGGTTAAGGCAGGGCAGGAGCTTCCAGTTGTCGGTGCGGATGCTCACCCGGGCCGCATCGTCCACACTCCGCACCTGGAGCAGGATGTGATCCCGCGGAGGTAAAGTCAGGGCGATCCTATACTCGTCGCCTTCCTCAGACAGGATATACCTGCCAAAGGGGTCGCGCACTAAGCCTTCTAAGGATCGGGGCGACAGGGGCCAAACCGTGAGGCTCTCGGCGTGCGCCTCTTTGGCGTCGGGGTGCAGGCGCCGCCAGAGCGCATCGAAAAGTTGGCGACGTTTCTCTGGGGACCAGGAGGAGACCGGCAGGGGTAGGAAAAGATCTGGGAAGGCCACGTCCAGATTTTCAAGCTGGCTCCAACGCGTCAGTCCGTCTTGCGTCGTATAAAGGGCGGAAACGTTCAGCCGTGTCGGGTACGGGCAATGAGGCTGCAGCGTCAGTTTCACTGTCGGGGACGGGCGATGGGCGGAAAAGCACGGGATGCAGAGTTCGGGCACCGGCTCGTAATGCTGGCTGGCGCAGGTGAACCGAAGCACCATGCAGAGGAGGAGTTCGTAAGGAGGCGTGCCAGGCCCCGCAGGGACCAGCCGGTATGCCAAACTGAGCCGCGAGGGAGAGCGGTCCGCCAGCAACCACTGGCAGTACCCGTCTACCTCCTGCTCGGCGGGAGGAACCGCCGGGGCATCCTCTGTAATCTCGACACGCTGTAGCTTCAAAGGGGCCAGATCCACCGGGTGGACAGTCAACGCAGCGACGAAGCTCTCGCTGTCGGCAACGATGGACGAGGAGAGCGACCGAGTCTTGATGGGACCTTCAGGGACCAGGACGGACCTTAATTTTTCAGCCGAAAGGTTGGTGAGGAGCGTGTAATAAAAGCCAGCCCGGTCTTGGACGTCCACATCGGTGTGGCTCAGGGAGATGGCATGCAGGAGGGCCGCCAGCCGGGACAGGGCAGGCGATGGGTGAAGCACCATTAGGTTGCGGCAAACGCTGAGAAGGATCTGGCCAGAGCGCCAATCCCCAAGTTTCCCCGAGGCGACCAGACGCGCTAAGAAGTGCATGGTGCTCGCTTGGGGAACGTCCTTCTCCTTCGCCAGCCGGGCTAAAATCTTGAGATGCCAACTTAGGTCATCTTCTCGCAAGGGGACGCTCACGACAAATTCTTGCAGGGCCTGAGCGAGGGTCCTGGCCCAACTGGACTCCTCCAGCCTCTTCCACGCCTCATCCAACAGATTGATGATGTTCGGGGCTAAGGTGCAGTTGTGACGGTAGAGATCCAGCAGGCACCGGGTCAGTTCCGCCATGGGCTGGGCCTGCGAGCCGAAATATTGGGCAAAAATGAAGGCTGCTTGGAAGAAAAGGCGCGTGGCGTCCAATCCTCCGTCTCGGGCCACCAGGCCTCCAAGGGCCAGGACATGCTCCAGGAGGTAGCCCGCTCCACGTTCGGCACTGGGCCCCTCATTTTCCATGCACACGAGGCACAGCAGATTCATCCGGGCCAGGACGGTCCCCTGATCTTGGAAGAACCCGGGGAAAAGGCCCGAGGTAGCTCGCGGCGTGAGCAGGACCGGCAGCCGCTCGTCGGTTCCTGAAACCAGTGGCCGGTTTTCGGGGAAGTGCAAAAGACAATCCAAGTGGAAAAGCTTCACGGCATCCGGGAGAGCCGGGTGCTGCGCCAGTCCCACCAGGTGTCGCAGGAGGAAGGACTCGTCCTCGGTGGTGAAGAGACTATCGGTGAAGAGCGATTTCAGCTGCAGGAGGGCATGCTCCAGAGTCACGCTGGCTGTGCCGAAGAGACGGGCCAGCTGGGCTTTGAAAATGGCGGGCGACTGGGTGCGCACGACGCTCACCGCCTGAGCCAGGTGGCACAGGAGGTGGCTCTGGGCCGCGGAGGTTAAGAGATAGCTGCTCTCCAGAAGAGCTGAGAGCACCAGTTTTAGCTCCTTGAGGTCCGCGGCGGATGGCAAGAGGACCAGCTGGTCAAGGGCCGCCGGCGAGAGCTTGCCGACTTCCTTTGTAGCCTCCCACACCAGCTCTCCGTTGCTTGCCAGAAGGTCCCCCAGGCAACCTTGCCCATTCTGGGCCAGGAGGAAGATGGCGTTCCGCAGCGCCACGCCGTACAGCAGGGTGTACCCCTGGTGGACACTCGAGACCTCCTGCTGTTGCAGAGACCGCAGGATTTCCAGCCGGTGCAACAGGAACCCCGAGTAGCAGCTCTCCAGCTCTCGAAGGCACTCGCACGCTGCGGCGCGGATGGGCCGCTCGGCCACTCCCCCGCGGCTGTCGTTCAGGTCGGACACCAGGTGGAGCAGTACGGAGAGCAGTTCGTGTGAGGTCGGGCAGTCTTCGGCCAGGCTGTCGGTCGCCACCAGCACCGTCTCTGCGGCGAAGAGCAGGGAGCGACGGAGGCCGACGTGCTTGGGGGAGAGGCTGAGCTGGGCAAAGAGGGAGAGGAAGGAGGCTGCGGCTTCCTGACCCGTCTTGGCATCGGGGCACAGCAGGGTGGGATAGTCCAAGAATAAGGACAGGATCGAGAGCTGCAAGACAAGAAAAAAGAGCCGTCAGGGACGATGGAGAGGGATATCGAGGCAGCCAGACCATGAGGAACCTCAGCAGCTTCAAGAGAGATGGACTTCGACTCCCAGAATTCCTCAGCCCATGTGCTTTAATGTCTGGCTTTCAACTCCCACAATTCTCCAGCCAGTAGGTTTTAATGTCCGACTCCCAGAATTCTCCATTTAGCATGCTTTAAGAGGGGTGAATTCCCTACCCAGAGTCCTTTAAGAGGGGTGGACTTCAACTCCCAGAATTCCCTAGCCCAGGGGTCTTCAAACTTGACAGCTTGAAGACTTATGGACTTCCAACTCCCACAATTCCTCCTCTAGTCATGTTAGCTCAGGAATTCTGGGAGTTGAAGTCCACAAGTCTTAAACCTGCCAAGTTGGAAGACCCTTGTGATAGATGATAGATA